TTTCATCTTGGTGAAAAAATGGGACAAAGTTAGGAAAAAATAAGAAAATTTTATAACTTAGAAAAATTCTAAGTTATGAAAATTTTCCATTTTAAACCCTAATTTGCATTTTTGGGTTTCTTGATGAACAATTTTCATAATTTGACATGTCTTGATGAAAAATGACCTTTGGCACTTTATTTTGACCAAAAAGTCAAAGTTTGACTTTTCAGTGTATAGTTAAATTTTGATCAATTGACTGAAAAATTCATCTGTCAATCCTATGCATTTGAGATCTTTTGAACTTGTTGAATGGATCAAGATAATGTCCTTGAGTCCTTGAGTCCATGGTTGAGATTGATTTACCATTGGCTAGGTCAAACAGTTAAAAATTGCCTTTGTACAGTTAAAACCCTAAAAATGACCATTTTGCCCTTTTGATGATCTAATCAAATTTCTTGTGGAATTGGGATCCAAACTTGATCAAGTGGTTCATATGAGTTAATAATGTTGATGTGGGTCAAATTTCATGAGGTTTGACTCTCAATTGGCCACAGTTGACTTTTTCCCCAATACAACTGATTTCTAGGTCAACTGTCCAATTGACTGGACAAAAATTTGAATCAACGCTTGAAACTTGGTATGGACAAACTTGTGAGTCCAACATGAAGTATGAAAATCATTTTGGGAATTGTAGGTCAAAACATCCCTGTGCAAACTCAAACCCTAATTTAGGTCAACAGTGCAAGGAGGTGTCTTGAGCAGAGCAAACCCTAACTTGATCTTGAATTCCAAGAGTCTTGTGATGAGAAATGTTGATGAAATGAGAGGGCAAATTTTGGGGTACAACACGCGCCATGACGTTCTTGGTTACTGTAGCAAAGGAAGCTGCCTCGACCCACTTTATAAAATAATCAATGGCTACCAGAATGAAGCGATGCCTGTTAGACGCAGTAGGTCTGATCTCGCCGATCATGTTGATGCCCCACATTGCAAAAGGCCAAGGAGCTGTCAAAAAATTCATGGGAACTGGAGGTACATGCACCTTATCAGCATAGACTTGGAACTTATGACAGATTCGAGAGTACTGATAACGATCGGCTTCCATAGTGGCCCAATAATATCCTTCCCATAGGATCTTCTTTGCCATGGTGTGTCCACCGGAATAAGTTCCGAAAGTGCCTTCATGTAACTCTGTCATGATCCTTTCTTCCTCCCTCTTGTCTACGCACCACAATAAGGTTGAATCATGGTTATGCTTATAGAGGATTCCGTTTCTGATGAAGAACTTCGTAGCGAACCTTGTTAGAAACTTATTATCATTAACAGATTCCCCCTTGGGGTATTCTTGAGCCTCAAGATACCTCTTTACCTTGTGAAACCAAGGCTTATCTGCTACCTCTTCAATCTCAATGTCGCAGCAATGTGCGGCTTCATCCAACCTCTCAATTTGAATCTGGGGAGCTTCATTGTCCCCCCTGACATTGAACATGGAAGACATGGTAGCTAGCGCACCCACTAACTGATTCTCTTCTCGTGGGAAATGTTCAAAGGTTATCTCCTCAAAGTGTGGGAGCAATGTCAGTACATACTCTTTGTAAGGGATAAGATTCGGGTGCTTCGTATCCCACTCGCCTTTGATATGACTTATCACCAGAGCAGAATCTCCGAATACACTCAAGAACTTAATCCTCAGGTCAATAGCAGCTCGAAGACCCATGATACACGCTTCATACTCTGCCATATTGTTGGTGCAATTAAAACATAATCGGGCGGTGAATGGAGTATGACAACCTTCAGGAGATATAATTACAACGCCAATGCCATTACCTAATGCGTTTGAGGCTCCATCAAAATACATAGACCATCGGGATCCTTCCTCAGGTCCTTCATCCGGTCCAGGTTCTTCACAGTTGGTTACAAACATGATATTCTCATTCGGGAACTCGAAATTCATAGACTGGTAGTCATCCATGGCTTGATGCCCCAAATGATCCGCCAACACACTCCCCTTGATTGCTTTTTGGGTTGTGTATTGGATGTCGTACTCGGTTAAGATCATCTGCCATCTTGCTATTCTCCCGAATAAGGCGGGCTTCTCGAAAATATACTTGATCGGATCCATCTTTGATATCAACAAGGTAGTGTGAGTCAGCATATACTGTCTCAGTTGGCTAGTAGCCCATGCTAAAGCGCAACAAATTTTCTCGAGCAATGAGTATCGGGTCTCATAGTCGGTAAACTTTTTGCTAAGGTAGTAAATTGCATGCTCTTTTCGACCAGACTCATCGTGCTGCCCCAACACACACCCCATTGAATTGTCTAGCACTGTCAGGTATAATATCAAAGGTCTTCCTTCAACTGGAGGCATCAAAATTGGTGGTTCTTGAAGGTATTCCTCGATTCTTTCGAAAGCGGTCTGGAATTCATCATTCCATTTTACCACTTGATCTTTCTTCAGCAGCCTAAAGATTGGCTCACAAGTAGCAGTCAGATGTGAAATGAACCGAGCGATGTAATTCAGACATCCCAAGAAACCTCTAACTTCTTTCTCTATGCGGGGAGCCGACATCTCTTGTATGGATTTTACCTTTGCAGGACCCACCTGAATACCTTTGTCACTGACAACAAAACCCAGAAGCTTACCAGACCTTACCCCGAAGGTACACTTGTTCGGAATCAACCTCAGCTTGTACGTCCTCAACCTGTCAAACAGTTTCTGTAGATGATCAAGGTGCTCTTCCTCAGTCTAAGACATGGCTATCATGTCATCAACATAAATCTCGATCTCGTGGTGAATCATATCGTGGAATAAAGTGACCATGGCGCGCTGATAAGTTTCCCCAGCGTTCTTCAACCCAAAATGCATTACCTTGTAACAGAAGGTGCCCCACTGTGTAACGAAGGTTGTCTTCTCCATGTCCTCAGGATCCATCTTGATCTGGTTGTAGCCAGAAAAATGATCCATGAAGGAGAAGATCTTGTGTTGTGCGGTGTTGTCGACTAGAATATCAATGTGAGGAAGTGGGAAGTCATCCTTGGGGCTTTCCCTATTCAGATCTATGTAGTCCACACACATCCGTACCTTACCATCCTTCTTAGGTACCATAACAACGTTAGCAACCCATTGCGGATAGGAAGTGACAGCTAAGAATCCTGCGTCGAACTGTTTCATGACCTTTGCCTTGATTTTATCTAACATTTTAGGGTGCATACGGCGGACCTTCTACTTTACCGGAGGGCAGTCTTCTTTAGTCGGCAGGCGATATACCACAATATCAGTGTCCAAACCCGACATGTCTTCATAGGACCAGGCGAAGATCTCAACATAGTCGTGTAGCATCTGTATTAACCGTTGTTTGACACTAGGCTCCAGATTCGCACCTATCTTAACCTCTTTCCTATTTTCCTATGTACCTAAATTCACTGACTCAACTGGCTCTTCATGAGGCTGTATGCCCTTTCTTTCTGCTGAAACAGTCTAGCAAGTTCTCCAGGCACCTCACAGTCATCCTCACCTTCGTCCTCGGCTTGGTTGATCGGATTTTTGAAGTCATAACTGGAGGTAGCAGAGTTGTTATCAATGGGATCCATAGTGGATATGGATCTGCAGTATGATACGTGAGTGTGTGTAAGAGAATAGCTGTTTTGATAAAGTGAGAGATAGAAAAGAAAAATAAGGAGCGCAAAATTTGTATGCAAGAAACGTCCAATGCTTTATTAATGATATATGAAATGACAAATAATAGCCCTCACAAACAAAGCCAAGGTGCCTTGGGCAAGGCACCGGGCCGTAAAGTTTAAACTGTTTATTACAAATCTTAAAACAAAAGTCAATTACTGAAGAATAAAAGAAAAAGGTATGAAGTCCTTTGCCGTCCAATTATTTAGTCCACCGTTGGTTGTTGGGTAGATCCAGCTGCCGGTTGTAATACCCCAAATTTATCCTACCCCTTTCGCTTTTATCTGGATTGCGCATCTCGCACTTTTCTCATGTACATAATCTTCATTAGGTCATCTAACACATCATGCATCATTAGTCAGTAATTTGGCACGGGATCAGGGATTTCGAGGAATTACATTGTTGTATGCTTCAAGGCTCTCATCTTCGCACAAGCTTGTTTCAAGTGATCTCTCCATCAATCATTTGTGTGAAGCTAGGGTTTTATTTCATGGACTTATTTATCATTAAGTTACGAGGTTATTCTCTTCTTCTCTACATCAAGATACAAGGTATTCTCCATCCGATTTCATCGAGGCTCAGTCTTTTGGATCAAAGATATTGAAGAATTAAGGTTTCTCTCTGGTTTTGAGGCTCTCTTCTACGTTCAAGGGTAATTTAAATTGTTTCTTCAACGATCAAGGTCCGGAGTTAGGGTTATATTCATTAAGCTACAAGGTTCTCCGTCCTCATCAAATGTTCTCAAGATCGAGTGCTTAGGGTTTTTGTCAATGTTTCAATTAAGAAAGCTTTGAGTTAGGATTTTGGCTCTTCTTTACATCTCAAGTAATTTCCTCATCAACATGTATCCAAGGTACAAGGTTAGGGTTGTATCTTCATCAAAGGGTTTTGTTGAGGGCATTGCATTTTTGTATTAAGATCACATTGCATTTTTGTATTAAGATCACCTTTCGTCTATCAAGGGATACACATGTTGCTTAAGCTACGTGACATAATCCTTGGTTCTTGTACGAGAAAAGAAAAATATGAGTATCATCAGAGGATATCACCCATAGTTGCGTTCAATCTTATGCAAGCTCCATCAAAATTCATTCATGGTCATTCAATTCCATTCAAAATCATTATAAAAATACGTCATTCATCAAACTTTCATCCAAGGTTCTTATTCAATTTTGTTTAAAGTACAAGGTAGAAACCATTGTTTACATTCACTTGAACCTTGCAAGATTAGACCGCTACCTTTACATAAACCATTACAAGGTAACCTCATGTCACAAACATTACAACTTAAAAATAATTACAAAAAGAAGTTCTTATATCTATCCTAAAGCCTATCTCTTCATACTTCAAAGTCTTCCATGATAAGCCTCCATGCTTCAAACTCTTTGTCGTCTGCCATAATTTCATCCTCTTCAAGCCTTGAAATGAGCCGAAAGGATACTCTACCATGCCACTATCTCCCTTGCTAACACCAAATCCCATGCTTGAAAATCACAACTGAACCTGCGTAAAACCAAGCATACCATATCAGTTTCAGCATAAGCGGCAATCCAAACATCATAACAGCCCCTTAACTGCATAACCACATTAAAAAACAGTTAATTCGACAACCAATTTCCTAACAGATTTTCTAACAGCTTTTATAACTGTTAACCAAAACATAATTTCCCATTTCTTAACCATTATTTCATTCCCTAACCGTTCCCTAACCTCCTAAAACTCTCAACCATTTTACGGAAGAGCAGATGTTCTTAAAACAGTTAATTCAACAACCAATTTCCTAACAGATTTTCTAACAGCTTTTCTAACTGTTAACTAACCTAACCAATTCACCTTCTAACCATTTTTTTCCATTCCTCAAACCTCTAACCAATTCATAACAACTGCAAATCCAAAACAGAATTCCTAACTGTATCTTAACATCCTAACAGAATTCTATAATCTCACCAACCTGCACATAAAACTCCAACCAACCCCTAACCGAATAGAATCAACTGTCAAACTCACTCTCCAATTCCTACAGATCTAACAGCATATGCATAGGAGAATCATAACAGAAAAGGAGAGGAAGAAGAGACACGGTTAACATAATAGAAAAAAGATACAAAAAATAGAGAAGAAAAACTTACCAGAATTTCATGGGATTCTTGATTCTGCAGAAAGATCACACCTTCTTCTTCCATTGATCCTTCTTCATTCTCCACCTTCATCTTTAACCACCTCTAAACTCTCTCTGAAATTTCTTCCCTGTCGGCAATCATCTTCAAATTCCCTCTTCATTGAAGCTCTTGAATCTTCACCACCATAACCTATTGCAACTTCTCAGCATCTGCGACATTCTCTTCAATTTCTCCATGCTACATATTTAAGGAACGATCATCATCATCTCCTGCAAATTTGTCACACAACCGCGTCAAGATATTTGCATCAAGATCGTAGTTCAACAACAACTTCTGTGCACCGCAAGAACAACAACTAATTTGTAGATTCGGGGCAACACTGAAGTATAGCGGAAGTAGAAAATTAAATCGGAGGAGTTTTCGGAGAAAGATGTAGTGATACCTGAGTATGAGGATTCTTGATTAGAATTAAGGAGGATTCTTGATTCTTGATTTAGAATACGGTCACCAACAGGATATAGCATCTGCATAAAGTCATAACAGAAATCCATAATATAGCCATTAGAACCAATAGTCACCGTCTGATCATAGTCACCATCTGTACCTGTAATAAGAATTCCCTCCCCGCTCACGGGTGAAAACTAGGTTAGGGTAAGGCAATGGTAACTCAGAATCGAGGGTACTCCTGAGAAACTATCGCCGTATCACCTAAGTGAAAACGATAGCCCCTCATTTGTACCTCATCTGAGCGTGGACGACATGGCGGCAATAGTGAGACCTAAGTCAACTAGCCGTTCATGTTCCACTCTATTCCTAGGGTTCCTATGGTATACAGCTCTGGCCTGGGTATTGGGCCTTTTACCTCATAGTAACACCCACCCAACAAGAAGCAGATCCAGTACAACAGTAGTATATGGAAGACAGTAAAATGCAATGCATACGTATGCTCAAGTATATACAAAATGAATGAATACTGAAAGCATAAAGATAAACACCCAAATGAAAGAAAGCAAGAGCTAGGAGCGACTCCGGGATGGACCAGCATTTGGTCGACCTATCCCTAGTGAAGTCACCAGCTGAAACAACCAGCTGAAAATCATCAAACAATGAAGTCGCCATCGGACGTCTTTTATCCCACATGTAGGGAAAGGTAAACATCGAGAAAACCTGAGAAGGGAGAAGTCACGGTCTTGCGACCGAGAGATCGGGTAAGGGAGTCTGTTACACGAGGGGAAGGTATTAGCACCCCACACGCCCGTAGTACTTGTGATCGGTGGAAATAGAACTGACTGTTTAAAGCTGGGTCACGAAATGTCGCGGAAGCAAGAGTCGCCACCGTCTTTTATGTTCTCTAACATGGAAAGGACAAAAGCACAACAAAATTCCTTATTGAGAATGTTTCTCGGTTCGGGAGGTAGATTATAGAAAGGGAAGGTGTTAGCACCCTTTCTATCCATGGTTATCCATGGGCTCTTAGGTACTTGCTCTTATGTTTTCAAAAATTGTTTGCTTTTCAAGTGTGTGTGGGTTTTGAAAAAGTTTCATTGAAAAGTTTCTAAGTAACTCTTGTATCTGTCCTCAAGAGTGTATGAAATATTTGTTTTGAAATCTTTTAGAAAGTGTTAGTGTGAAAAGTATTTTTGTTTTTTAGAAAGAGAGCAAGTACCTATGAGTCATCTACCTACCCTAAGGAATTAGGCTGTGTAAGAGTCCTTAAGATAGTGCTATCCCACCATTGAGAGATAGGTAGCACCATCGTTGGAGTTATTCGGGTCAATTCGATTTTAGGGACAGTGTGGTCACCGAAGCAATAGTAGGACACCTTAGAAGTAACCCTAATGTCCTAGATCCTTTTTAATCCGAGGAAACTGTTTCGAGGCAACCGGATCTTTGGACATAAGGGCGACCGCTAAAACACCCTATACTTGACGACCACGTTTCGAAGGCAACGAGTGAGGCGTACCCTAGAAGTGGCATGTGCATTGTGTGTTGTTTTCATGTTAAGAGTTATCTTTGCACATTTATATGGTGAGCTACGGGTTGTTTTTAGTTATCATACATTCTTTCATGCAATTAACAGTTAGGAGTGCGGAAAATTAAAGACGAAAAGGTAAAAGCTACGCTATTACAAGGCGCGGGTCTATACATCGCCAAAAAATAAAGACCCGTTTTTGATAAAGATGCAGAAAGTAAAGAAAAGCAATAAACCTAATTACTATTACATCCTTGGAAGCAGTTACATAATAATCAAAAGAAATAAGGATAACGTGCGAAAGAATTAAATTCAGGACGTCCTAGGGTTTTGACCCTTTTGAGCAAATTATGAGTTTTTTGTCCTTTTGTGTTTAATGAAAATAAGAAAAGAATTTAAAAGTTAGTAAACAACCCTACTTCTAGATTATTTTAATTATTAATAAAAATATTAAAGTTACCCTAATTTAAACTAATTAATTAATTTACATGTTTATGTACAAAAATAATAATAATTAATAATGATAATAATAATTAATTAAAGAAAAAGATTAAAAGTGTCAAAACCTAATTCTATATAATTTTTATTTATTAAGAAAAAATTGAAGTTAAACCTAAATTAAACTAATTAATTGTTTAGAATTTATTTACAAAAATAAGTTAATGATGAAATTAACAAATAATTAAAACATATTTACAATTTTGATTTCTGATTTTTATTATGGAAAAATTAATTTAGTTATGAATTAATAATAATAATTAAAATAATTAAAAGAATTAAAATGGAAAGAAAATAAAATAAAAACTATGCAAACCAAGGGGGTTAGATGGCCCAAAGTGGAGGTGTACTGAAGCAATTCTGGCCCATCAAGACAAAGCCCTGTTTGACTTTCTGGTATCACGTGCGTGCTTGTTGACTGGACCACATCATGGACTTCATCTCCTGGCCACTGGATTGAAGCTGAGAGACACCTGGCTAGCTGATGCGTGGGGCTTATGGTGGAACACTGGATGAACGCTGCATTGGAACGCTTTGGGAAAAATAAGAACAATTATATGGGGGACCGGGGAATCGAACCCAGGTCCCAGCACTCCTTGCCATTGTGCCTTTGCCAACTGGACTACATGCGTGTTTGTAATATAAGTGGACAACAATTATTATATAAGAAAAATAAACATTAAGACAATCAAACAAAGTAACGCGCGCTGTTTTGTATCCTCCAGTCACATGATGCCACGCACGTCTTCTTCTTCGTTTCCTGTAAAAAACAAAACAAGATAGCGGGGGTTTTAAACCCCCCACAAACCAAAAGTGCAGAAAATAGCGATTAGCAGCATGGATGATATAAATTGAGCGTGAGGATTCCATTCGATTCGTCTTGAGCTTCTGAGTTTAATGGTATGAGTCTCAAGGCCTGATTTTTCCTCAATAAGAAAGCCCTAATTTAAAAGCTTGGAAACCCTAAAACGTGTTAATGGCAAATCATGATTCAGAGTGTTATAATGCAATTAGACTATTCCATTAGCTTCAGAATGTTCCTAAAAACACAAACCAATCAAGAAAATGGATTAAAAACGCATGATTGAGGATATGTAATTCTGGAAAATAATTCAAACCGTGTCACTTGTGATGAACGATTCTTTGCGTGTTAAGCTTCGTTCTTGATTGCAATGGCTTCCTGGCAATGTCAGCAACACGTTGGAACCACTTTTAGGCTTTTAATTCACCTGCAATAGTGATTTCAGTTTTCAAGTATATCTTGAATTTTTGCAAATTGGTTATGGCTTTTTATGGCAGCTTTTTCGTGTTCAGCTTTAGGGTTTTCTTCAGCACATATATGTGAATGGAATTAGGTTAGAATTAAGCCCATAAATGCATTGTATTCAAGTTTGAATGTGTGATTGCCAATCATATCTTTTTCAATCTTTTCTTTCATAAAACCTTGCCAATCATGGATATTTTGAGGTCTTGGAAGTGCACACGAATTTCCAGCTTGCCCTAGTCATATTTGCTTCACAAAAGATCCAAAAATCATATCTTTTTAATTTTCCTACAATTAAAACCAATTAAATGAATTAATATTAATAAAAATTCAATTAATTAATTAAAAATAAGAAAATAAATCAAATTAAGTTCAATGGGTCGTGCATAGGCCTTGGGTAATGATTCAAGAAAGAATTTGAGGCCCATTTAACAAAATGAAGTGTTTTAGGCAAAGTTGACTTTTGAAAGTTCCCAAAAATTTCCCAACTTCTCCAATGCATATCTTGCTTAATTTTGAAGCTATGAACATGTTCTTGGACATTTTGGAAAGGTATGGAAGTTCTCTAACCAATGCCTTTGATCCCATGTCATTTTGATTCACCAATCTCAAGTTATGGTCTTTGACTTAAAGTGCCTTTTTGTTGACTTTTGAAAATGACCTATAATGTTGAAATTGATAACTTTTTGTGAGAGCATTTATTGGATTTGGAATGTGAATATGAGTTGTAGGAAATGTCATCCCCTTCAAAATGAGAATTGTATGGGATTTTTCTGATGAACCATGAAAAAGTTATGCCTTGGTCAAATTACAGTTGACTTTTCAGCTGTCCAAAAATAGAAACTCTTGCATCTTGAGACTTTTTGAGCCATTCTTTGAGGAATCATGATCAAGAATTGATCAAATGATGACTGTGGCTTCAAAATAAGATGTTGACCAAAAATTTTGACTTTTGATTGCCAAATGACCATTTTACCCCTACAGTTGACTGTGAAGCAATTAGGGCTTTTGACTGTGCAACTTGATGCTGTGAGTCTTGAAACTTGACATATAGATGTTTGACAATGTATATGGGTATATGGGACTTGATTGGACCCTTGAAAACCTCAATTTCTTTGCAAGAACCAAAACCCTAATTTTGACTGTGTTAGGAGGGTGTTTGAACTATGCAATCCTTGATCCATTTGGAGCTTGATCTTGCAAAATATTGAAGAATATGGGAGGGAAAATTTTGGGGTACAACAGTTGCCCCTGTTCAATCTTCTTAGACCTGAGGATGTAGATTGGCTTGCGTGCCTTTCGTAATCCGAAGGTGGAAGATGATTGAACACTAGAGTGCCCAGAAATTTGCACTCA